TCTTTCTCTCTCTCTCTCTCTCTCTCTCTCTCTATTTAACCATATAAAATCAACAGTTGTTTCTTCTTCATCAACATCTTCTTCTTCTGTTCTTTATTCAGTGTAAGATTATACGCATTCTCTGTTCTGTTTGCTTCAAAACCTTCCAATGTCGTTTTTACCTTCTCCTATCATCAATTTCTTTTGGCTTAAATGCGGTTTTGCCCCCAAACCATAACATAATTGTCAATTTGCACACTTGATTATTTTTTTGGTAAATTAAGTGTACGAATTTGTTAAAAATAGTCAAGTCGGTCCCTATGGTCAGATTTTGATTTATTTCATCCATTTCTCTATTACTCTTCCCACCCACATGATGTGCACGCGACCCCTTTAAGAAGAGCAAAACCTCTACGTCACCTTTTCACTTCGACTAAATCCCCCCCAATTAGCCCTAATGCCCCAATTTTGTTACCCAGACCAGTGGTGGTGTTGAGATGAGGCGCAAGACATCAACCTCAAGTGAACGTGGAGGAGCTGTGTTGGGGAGATACTGTAAATGTCTAAATGAGGCGTTAATAAGGACATCGTGGATAGATTTAAACCCTAGAAGAAGGTTCTATGTTTATGGCACACAAGGGGTGAGTTTTATGATGCTTTTGGTTATTTGAATATTTTTTTTTTATCCGATTCCATGAGTGATGCAGAGAGGTCGACGGTGTGATTTGTGGAAGTGGGCGGACCCAGAAATGTTTGATCGTTCGAATCAGATCATTCCCGGGCTGTTAAGGCGTATTAGAACCATGGAGGAGGAACTTCAATTGCAGAGAGCTAAAGTAAAGAAGATTGGGTTTTGGATTGGCAACTGCTTCATTGTGATGATAATTTTGGCCCTTTTTTTGTTATTGAAACCAAATTCAGGGATGGGAAACAGTTGAAATTGGAATTAATGTGATGAAAGGGTTTGATGGCATCTATTTTGTGGTTTTGGGTTTTGGGTAATATGTGTTAGTGGTGTTGTTGGGTTTTTGTATTTGTTTTTTGACGCCATTTCCTGTATTAAAAAAAAACATTTGGCTAGCTGTGAATGAAGTGGTGCAATTCGTAACATGTACTCATAGCAGTTGGGCATAAACATATCTGACCATTTGGATATCTCACTTTCAATGCAAAACTTCACCATATTGGTGCATTTGAAAAGACAAAGTATAAACAGGTTTTAAAGAAACCAAACCTTTTGGTTATTTGAAAAGAAGTACTGAGTTTGCATTTAACACTTTGAAGTACAAAAGTGCATATCATATCATTGGTGCTTAACCATAGCATAATTTCAAAAGACTTGCTAAATACCACAAGTGCAGAGCATTACAAAGAACTGGTTAAAAACCACAAGTGTATAGCATTACAAAAGACTTACAAAAACAAACAAGTTCACAATTACAAAAGTCTTGCTAAAACAAACAAGAGCATTACAAAGAATTGGTTAAAAACCACAAGTGCATAGCATTACAAAAGACTTACCAAAACCAACAAGTTCACAATTATAGAAGTCTTGCCAAAACAAACAAGTTCACAATATCAAACAAATTCACCATTACAAGGTCATTGTCATGGCCTTCTTTCCAGGTGATTTGAACTTTGGGGATTGATAGATGACCACTGGCTAATTTGAAACACGCAAAGTAAAGATTGGATGATGTTGATCTTACAAATGCAAATGTGTTCCTTGTCACGAACACATTGCACTCGTGATAGGAACATTGGCACCACATTACTTCAGAATTTTTTTTTATAGAAATAATTGGAACAATATTCAATTGTTTTTGTTATTTATCAAAGAAACACATTCGAATTATTTAATTAAAATGTTGATAAAATTCCCTTTATTAAAAATGAATATTGAGATTTTAGATATGAGGTTCAAAATGAACTTGTTGATTTAGTGGCATGCGATTACTCATTATCCAACTAGAGTTTGGTTTGCCTGGAACTCAAACTAGGATTAGGATTAGGATTCAATTAGGCGATGGGTTTAGTTTTAGAGTTATAGGTATATAAGGTGATCTTGAAGGTTTGTTGATGGGTACAACTCTCAAGGTCGACTGCCAATATGGAGGACATTGCAACACCATTTTTACGCCCCATTATAGTAAACATTATATAGAGTAGATGATGTAAAATATACAATCATTGTAGTCTTAAATTTGCAAACTAATTTTCTGTGGAGGGAAGTTTTTTTTTTGGGTACAAGGAATAGCTTAAGCTAGAGGGGAGGGGATTTCTCTCTCACACACACACAAATAATGCCATGATGGTTTGAATCTAAGACCTCTGATATCTACAAATCAATGCCCTTTTTTTCACTAAATTAATTAGATCCAGTTGGCTTTCGGGAAGTTTTTTTAGGAGATCGCTGCCAAACATATCCACTAGTGAAGTCGGAAAACAGAACTCCATAAATTTGCAAACTTTATATAACTTGTACTTAATAGACTGAACATAATATTCATTAATCTTAGAATACAAAACAACTCCTAGGAATAGAATTTGATGCAATTAGCCTCATTGGTTTGAAAATTTTGATGTTTGAATGAGCAACATGTATATGAATTCAACTGTATCGAGATAAATCCTCTGTTAGGATATGCTTGATTTTTATTATAAGCATGCCACCTCATTTAAAATATACTAAAAAATTAACACAATATTTTTAAGAAAAAAAAAAAACATTAAACATAGGGAGTAAGCAATACCCAAATAAGATGATGAACAATATCAATCCTTTTTTTTTGGTCATAGAACAATATCAATCCTTAAACGGGAAAAAAAAGTCACGGTACCTGAATTAAATCTCAAATTTTTTGTTTTAAGAAACGCTTTTTTTTGGGGTCAGATTTTAACAAACACTACAATTCAATGATTGAAATCTACACCAATTTTCTGGTGTAAAATTAAACACTTCAATTCCTGTATTTTACACCGCACATTATTCTTGATTTCTTTTTTGGGGTCTCAGAAGTGAGAAATTCATTAAAGAGGCACGAAGGGTAAAAGGATCCAGCAAATGCGTTTTTGGTCAATATCCTTGATTTTTCCACATGTCATTTCATTACTAGTTGGGAATAGTGAAACAGTACCATCCCATTACGATAAAGTTTTTCTGGTGAATCATGTGTGAAATAACTTCCTTGTCATGAGCACATTCAGAGAGACCGATGCAATCCACTACTAGTAATGGTGATTAAGTTGGGGACACTATCAATGTTGCTAGTAGTGGGCTACGGACATCTCTCTAAAATTGAACATTGATAAAATGGGGAAGTTTATCTCCCATATATGTATATTGTAATTTGTATATATGGATATTTGTGACATCACGTTGGTATGTCAAGTGCCATCACACACAATAAATTTTCCGGCCAAACATTAGTTTCACTCGGTATTGCAAGAGATACTTCGAGAGTTTTCTTTTTCTTTTCTTTTCCATCATTTCAGGCTTATGTGTTTTTAAGGCTGTCGGTTGGTTGCCTTTCTTATTGTCACGCTGCGTGATTAATAGACCAACAGATAGCAAGAAATTGGAGCCATGATAATATTCATTTATGTCAGAATACAAAACAACTCGTACGAATAGAATTTGATGCAATCAACCTCGTTGGTTTAAATGAATTTGAAAATTTTGAGGTTTGAATCAGCAACAGGTACATGAATTCAAGTGTGTATCTTGATAAACATATACATTTATGTGACTTAATTACATATCTTGTGATTTTGGTGCCCTTTACACTTATATAAGAGAGTGGATTAGTAAGACATTTACAGAAAAACTGAAGTGCATCAGAGAGCAATTCTCAAGTTATATGATCGGCGAGGTTCGAAGCAATGATGATGAACGAGCTGAAGAAATCTTATGTAATTCGGCTGAATATTGGAGGAAATGAATTCTGCACAAGTGTTGATACTCTAACTCAGCGTGAGCCTAACTCAATGCTTGCTGCAATGTTTAGCGGACGTCATCAAGACCCTGCAAAGGGATATGTTTTTATTGATAGGGATGGTACACATTTTCGGCACATCCTTAATTGGTTAAGGGATGGAATTGTTCCCTCATTGGAAGATTGCTCTAAATATTCAGAACTTCTGAGAGAAGCATACTATTTTCAACTACTTGGTCTAAGAGAGGGAATACATGATTTTCTAAACAAGAAGAAGGAAGATGATAAAAAAAGCATAGCAAAGTTGGATGCAGAATTAACGCGCAGGGATATCATCAGGTGTATACAATCTAATGCAAGAATTAGGTAATTTAGAGGTGTTAATCTGTCTGGCCTTGATCTTTCGAAACTAGACCTGAGCAATATCGATTTCAGTTACGCTTGTCTAAGAAATGTGTGTTTCTCAAGTTGTGATCTTGATGGCGCAAAATTTAATCATGTGGATGCTGAGGGTGCCATCTTTCGCAATGCTAGTTTGCAAAACTCTAAATTAATAGGGGCAAATCTACGTGATGCTTTATTTGTTGATGCCAATCTTCGCTCTGCAAAGGTACAAGGTGCATGTTTGATAAATTGTAGCTTTTGGAGAGCAAGATTGGATTGTGCAGAGCTCCATGATGTTGATCTTACAAATGCAAACTTACAAGATGCTTGTCTGAGAAGCGCGAACTTGAAGAATCTCAAGACGACTACTAAGACTAATTTTATGGATGCAAATCTTGAACAAGCTTATGTAGTAAATGTGAGTTCTCAGCATTTGGAGGGTGCAAAGCTTGTTGGTACTTCTGTTAATGGCCAAACATGTCCAAGCCCTAATTATGCATGTGAAAGCCCAAAGTGGGAGTGTTGATTGTGGAAATTAAATACTAAGGACAAATTATTCGCTTTCAATACACGAGAAGAGCGAGCGATGATTTTACATGTTTCCTCGATTTCAATACACGAAAAGATTTCTTCCTAAAGCCCCAATGCCACGTAAATTTTTCCTCACTCCACTTATCTTCCTGTATAAGAAACAAAATTATAACAAGTACGATAGAATTCAACTAAAACGACCTCTCTTCTTAATTATTTGCTTTTCTTGTTCATTGTCTAAGGTCAATCAACCAACAATTGTTACTTTAGCTTTGTGTATTTTTTTTCTAAAAATAAAAATAATTGGAACAATATTCAATTGTTTTTTAATTTATTTATCAAAGAACCAC